TCCGACCTGCTGGCTGACGGAGACATCAGGCTGGACTGGATGTTCAAGTCCTCGCTGCTCATGGACCTGATTAAGGTTCTAATGATGATAATATTATCCTCGTCCATCACACAGGAACTTGCTCTCCCTTTCAGAGTAAAGGTAAGATATTACTGCTGGAGTTTTAATAAACAAACTTTCCTGTTACAGGGGATGAAGTACCTTCATCTTCGAGGTTTGAGTCACGGCCGTCTGAAGTCCACTAACTGTTTAGTGGACGGACGATTCGTCCTGAAAATCACAGACTACGGACTTCCCATGATCCTTCACTCTCAGGGCCTCAGCCTTCAAGAAGACCCGCAAGGTGTGTTAGTGCTAACCCTGACTGAGTATTACTGCTAACCTGTCTGTCTCTACCTGTCCGTCTCAACGGTCTGCCTCACCTGTGTGTGTCTCCTGTCTGTCTCACCTGTCTGTCTCTACCTGTCTGCATCTCACCTGTCTGTCTCACCTGTCTGTCTCTACCTGTCTGCATCTCACCTGTCTGTCTCACCTGTCTGTCTCACCTGTGTGTCTCACCTGTGTGTGTCTCCTGTCTGTCTCACCTGTCTGTCTCTACCTGTCTGTCTCACCTGTCTGCATCTCACCTGTCTGTCTCACCTGTCTGTCTCTACCTGTCTGCATCTCACCTGTCTGTCTCACCTGTCTGTCTCACCTGTGTGTCTCACCTGTGTGTGTCTCCTGTCTGTCTCTACCTGTCCGTCTCAACGGTCTGCCTCACCTGTGTGTGTCTCCTGTCTGTCTCTACCTGTCTGCATCTCACCTGTCTGTCTCACCTGTCTGTCTCTACCTGTCTGCATCTCACCTGTCTGTCTCACCTGTCTGTCTCACCTGTGTGTCTCACCTGTGTGTGTCTCCTGTCTGTCTCACCTGTCTGTCTCTACCTGTCTGTCTCTCAGAGCTGCTGTGGACGGCCCCTGAGCTCCTGAGGAATCCGGTTCGAGGCGGTTCTTTCTCTGGAGACGTTTTCAGTTTCTCTATCATCATACAGGAAGTGATCTCACGCTCGCCGCCGTACGCCATGATGGACATGCCTCCTGAGGGTGAGACTATCACACCTGTCTGTCTCTCAGAGGGCCTGCAGCCTCCCTCTACCTGTCTGAGCGCCTGTGTTTTTCTCCACCTGTCTGTCTCTCAGAGATCCTGCAGCGTCTGAGGCAGCCCCCCCCCCCTCTGCCGGCCCCAGGTGTCGATGGACGAGGCTCCGAGCGAGTGTCTCAGTCTGATGAACGAGTGCTGGAGCGAAGAGCCGGGCAAGAGGCCCACCTTTGACGAGATCTTCAAACAGGTGAGGCTCTGAGGTGTGCTGTGGCGTGTTCCGGACGCTTTGTAAACAGGAAGCGGTCTCTTATCAGGTGTTTTCTGTAGTTCCGGGGCATCAACAAGGGGAAGCGTGCGAACATCATCGACTCCATGCTGCGGATGCTGGAGCAGTACAGCTCCAACCTGGAGGATCTGATCAGGGAGCGCACCGATGAGCTGGAGGTGGAGCGCAGCAAGACAGACAAGCTGATTGGACAGCTGCTGCCAAAGTGAGCACTACAACTCCCATGATGCTCCTCCAGTGGAGAGCCACAGTTGAACTCATATTAATGTTATTCATATTATAAAGATCTGACTCTTGGTAAACGTGTCACAGGTCCGTGGCTCAATCTCTGAAGAAGGGGAAGCCGGTGCAGCCCGAGCATTACTCTGACTGCACGCTGTACTTCAGCGACATCGTGGGGTTTACTACCATCTCCGCTCTCAGTGAACCCATCGAGGTACTGAGTGTGTGTGCGTGTGTGGATGTGTGTGTGTGTGTGTGTCAGTAAAACTAACACTGTGTGTGTGTGTAGGTGGTGGACCTGCTCAATGACCTCTACACGATGTTTGATGCCATCATTGGCTTGCACGATGTGTACAAGGTATGAAACAGTTTAAATTAATACATATTTTATTGCCAGCTCTTACAGTTTACAGTTAACACTCGCAATGAATCTGGAAACCTTAACGAGTTAACAAAAAGTGGAGGCGCGTGAATAAGTGCGGCTCTTCAGATTCATTTGAACGTTGTTAAACCTTCAGGAGCTACAGGTCAATGTGGAGCTAATGCTAGCTCTCAATAAAGCACACTGGTCTGATCCTGCCGTACATCAGTACACACACTCCTGAGACCTGTAGTCCATGTGTCCTCGCAGGTAGAGACCATCGGAGACGCCTACATGGTGGCGTCAGGCGTCCCCAACAGGAACGGGAATCTACACGCAGGCGAGGTGGCCAACATGTCTCTGGACATCCTGCACTGCATGGGAGCGTTCAAGATCAAACACATGCCGGAGATCAAGGTCAAGATCCGCATTGGACTGCACTCAGGTAGGTACACACACACACACACACACACACACACACACACACACACACACACACACACACACACACCACACACACACACACACCACACACACACACACACACACACACACACACCACACACACACACCACACACACACACACCACACACACACACACACACACACACACACACACCTTAGTGTTTGATGGTGACCCCCTCCTCAGTGTTTGATGGTGACCCCCTCCTCAGTGTTTGATGGTGACCCCCTCCTCAGTGTTTGATGGTGACCCTCTCCTCAGTGTTTGATGGTGACCCCCTCTTCAGTGTTTGATCGTGACCCCCTCCTCAGTGTTTGATGGTGACCCCCTCCTCAGTGTTTGATGGTGACCCCCTCCTCAGTGTTTGATGGTGACCCCCTCCTCAGTGTTTGATGGTGACCCCCTCCTCAGTGTTTGATGGTGACCCTCTCCTCAGTGTTTGATGGTGACCCTCTCCTCAGGTGCGCTTGTGGCAGGTGTGGTCGGCCTGACGATGCCCAGGTACTGTCTGTTTGGAGACACCGTGACCACAGCTTCAATAATGGAGTCGTCTGGACTGCGTACGTACAGAACAGAACCATCAGTGATTCTTTAAAGAGATGTTCCTCTAACATGCAGTGTTTGGTGTCCAGCCTACAGGATCCACATCAGTCTGAGCACAGTGAAGGTCCTGACCAGCCTCAAAGTGGGATACCACATCGACACCAGGAAGGCTCAGGTATCCCCAACCTGCAGCACCTCATCAATCACCTGCAGTGATGTCTGTGATGGCACTCATTGTGCTGACTCATGTCAGGGTTCAGGACTCATAATGCTGACTCATGTCAGGGTTTAGGTCTCATAATGCTGATGCATGTCAGGGTTTAGGACTCATAATGCTGACTCATGTCAGGGTGTAGGTCTTATAATGCTGACTCATGTCAGGGTGTAGGTCTTATAATGCTGACTCATGTCAGGGTGTAGGTCTCATAATGCTGACTCATGTCAGGGTTCAGGACTCATAATGCTGACTCATGTCAGGGTTTAGGTCTCATAATGCTAACTCATGTCAGGGTGTAGGTCTCGTAATGCTGACTCATGTCAGGGTGTAGGTCTCAAAATGCTGACTCATGTCAGGACTCATAATGCTGACTCATGTCAGGGTGTAGGTCTCATAATGCTGACTCATGTCAGGGTTTAGGACTCATAATGCTGACTCATGTCAGGGTTTAGGTCTCATAATGCTGACTCATGTCAGGGTTTAGGTCTCATAATGCTGACTCATGTCAGGGTTTAGGTCTCATAATGCTGACTCATGTCAGTACTCATAATGCTGACTCATGTCAGTACTCATAATGCTGACTCATGTCAGTACTCATAATGCTGACTCATGTCAGGGTTTAGGTCTCATAATGCTGACTCATGTCAGGACTCATAATGCTGACTCGTACAAGGAAAAACCCCACAGTTTAAAGGGAACATGGAGAAACCTCAGGGAGAGCAACAGAGGAGGGATCCCTCTCCCAGGACGGACAGACGTGCAATAGATGCCGTGTGTAAATCAAAGAGATAATACATTTCACAGCGTAGGTAGACCAAATGTTTGGAAATGCATGAGTCTATAATAAGAAGATGAATCCACGAGGATGTCAACAATCCTGTGGGAGCCATCAGGGAAGTAGTATGATGAGAGTCAGGCAGGACCGCAGAGACAGGATCAGCCTCGACTCAGGATCCCGGTGTAGATAGACACCAAAAAGAAATGTGGGGGAAGCTGTGTTATTGGGAACATGAGAGTACACAGGTACAGACAGAAGGAAGAAGTGAGGTGTCCCCCGACAGTCTAAGCCTATAGCAGCTAAACTAACGTGTCTACGCCCATGAAAGCAGTGCATGCACTTATTAGATTATTTTATCAACTATAAGCTTTATCAAAAAGGAAGGTCTTAAGCGTACCCTTAAAAGCGGCTAGGCTGTCTGCCGCCGGAACACAAACTGGAAGCTGATTCCACATGTCAGGGTTTTTACTCTCAGACCAAATGTGTGTTTGTGCAGGTGAAGGGCACGGTGGACACGTACTGGCTGATGGGTCGAGATGGTTTCGATAAACCACTTCCTGTTCCTCCAGACCTCATTGGAGGGTAAGAACACACACACACACACACACACACACACACACACACACACACACACACACACACACACACACACACACACACACACACACACACACACACACACACACACACACACACACACACACACACACACACACACACACACACACACACACACACACACACACACACCTACCAACACACACACCCCCAAAACGTCTTGGAGGTGATCTCTGTGAGTCCCATGACCTCTGATGTGGTTAGATCCTGCCTGTCTCTCACCTGTCTGTCTGTCTACATGTCTGTCTCTCACCTATCTATCTCTCAGAGCCAGTAACCATGGGATTAGTTTGGATGAGATTCCTCCTGACAGACGACAAAAGTTTCTGGACCGACAGAAGAAGGCAGCGAAGAAATAAACACACAAGCTGAGACCCGCCTGTCTGCCTGGCGCATCAACACACACACACACACACACACACACACACACACACACACACACACACACACACACACACACACACACACACACACACACACACACACACACACACACACACACACACACACACACACACGTCTGTTCCTGTGCCTCACATGGGTCTGTAACAGATTACACAGTAGTGAGTAATATTTATATTAACATTAAAAAAGCTAAAACAATGTAATAATAGTAATAGTAATAATAATAATAATAATAATAATAATAATGATAATAAGGGAAATGACTGCCTGTTAATAAAGTTCTCACAGTGTTTAAGTACTATATTTTATTTGTATTTGGTTGTGTCTTCATTCCCAAAATGTCCTAAATGTATTTGATTATATATTTTCATTAACCTGTTTCACGCCTTCCCCCCGGTACCGGGCGGATAAACGCGTCATTTGCAGGAAACAACGTCTAAGGAATCTTAATATTGAATAAAACTATGAATGTGTTATATCCATGTAACGGGAAGAAACTCAGCTAACTGATCTTTTTAATTTTTTTTTTCAAAAAAAACCCCACAATGCTAGCACTCAGCCTCTGAATTAGCCTCGATCGAAAAAACGGGACCGACAAAGGCACATAAACTCACTCAGAACTCCCTTATTACTTATCCTAGATGCACAACCAAACACTATTTTTTGGTGTCCTGGAGACACTGAATCTAACGGTGCCCACCTCAACACTCAGTGATAAACATTCGCGACGCTATCAACGAAAGCGTACATCATCACATGTGGAGCCAAGAAGCTAAACATATAAATATGGCTTACCTTGGTCAAAAGTGGTCTTCAATGGCATTAAAACGATAAAAAAACGATGCTGCAGTTAATCCATAGGTTCATCCTATGTGTCTGTGCCTTCTTTGAAATTATTTCTGATAATCCATAAGCAATACAACTGCGTTTTAGTTTCCAAACTCCAGAAGGAGACATTCCTCCAGTTTAGTTTCGCTTTCCACACGCGAAGCGGCAACATTTTTTCTTTACAATGTGTGTCTATGTGAGTATCCTCCTTCGATTCTATTGGCTCTAACGGTCACAGGGTATGTCAACCAACCAGATCGAGCAAGGATTTCATGATGCGCCGGTGAAGATGGCCGCATCGTCTTCGTGCTCCTCTCCAACTTTGCCCATTTTCGTATTTTGTACATATTTCTTTTACTTTTGCCGTTTTACTTTTAACATGGTTCGCAACATGCTAGCCGACCGCACCTACTCTGCCATACAATATAGCAGAGAGGAACTTCTCCAATTGCGAAACTTCGTGGACAATATTAACCCTCCGACAGACAATGGAGATTCACCATGGCTACCTGTTGCTGTTCTACCTGAGAGACGCAAGAAGAAGACAAAGCGAGGATGCCGGGCCGGGTTGCTGGTCAGACTAAGAAAACGTGAGAATCGGCCCCCTCTTCCGAGTATTCTTCTGGCTAATGTTCAATCCATTGAAAATAAGCTAGATGAACTCAGAAGCCGGATTGCTTTTCAACGGGACATTAAGAACTGTAACGTGTTAATTCTCACTGAGACTTGGCTCAACCCCGCTATCCCGGACTCCGCTATTGTCCCTGACGGATTCTCTATTTTTCGTCAGGACCGGACTGCAAACTCGGGGAAAAGTAAGGGAGGCGGTGTGTGTGTAATGACTAACAACAACTGGTGCTCAGATGTGAAGATTATTTCATCGGACTGTTCCGCACAGCTAGAGCACCTCATGATCTCATGTCGGGCCTTCCATCTGCCGAGGGAATTCACATCTGTTGTGATAACAGCAGTGTATATCCCGCCGCAGCCACTCGCCGACAACAACACGGCACTCGATCAGCTGTTTGGGTTTATTGATAAAACCGAGACTTCACGGCCAGATGCGGCGTTCGTTGTGGCCGGAGATTTCAACACCGCCAACATGAAGAAGGTTTTGCCAAAATATTACCAACACATCAACTTCCCGACGCGCGGGGGGAAACATACTGGACCATGTTTATTCCCCTTTCCGGAATGGATATAAGGCTCTCCCTCGCCCTCCCTTCGGCAAATCAGACCATATCTCACTACTGTTGTTGCCTGCTTACAAGCAGAAACTTAAAAGGGACAGACCGATAACAAGGACAGTACAACGATGGAGCGAGGAGTCAGATTCAGCACTGCAGGATTGCTTTGCATCTACGGATTGGAGTGTGTTTGAGGACAATAACATCAACACACACACGGACACTGTCATCTGCTACATTGGGAAATGCATCGATGACGTGGTACCGAAGGTTTCTGTACGGACATTCCCAAATCAAAAGCCCTGGGTAAACGGTGAGGTGCGCGGCAAACTGAAAGCGCGCACTCTCGCGCACACAGCGGGAGATTTGGAGGAGTACAGGAAGTCTAGGTATGATCTCCGGAGAGCAATAAAAAATGCAAAGAGACAGTACAAAGAGAAGGTGGAATCTGACTTCAAAGGCTGTAACACTAGGAATATGTGGGCGGGACTAAGGACAATGACTGACTACAAAGGAGCAGCGGGGGGTGCTGCGGGAGTGTCTGCGTGCGCATCTCTCCCAGATGAGCTAAATAGTTTTTTTTGCACGCTTTGAGAGCAGCCAGGCTGTGGAGGTACAGAGGGACCAGGAGCTACACTGCCCTTTTGTTTTAAATAGGGCAGATGTGTGTAAATCCTTTAAAAGGGTTAACCCACACAAGGCTCCTGGACCTGATGGCATCCCTGGCCGTGTTCTCAGGGTGTGTGCAGTTCAGCTGGCAGAGGTGTTCACAGACATCTTCAACAGGTCCCTGCTGCAGTCTGTAGTCCCCACATGTCTTAAACACTCCACCATCATTCCTGTCCCCAAAAAGACAATCATCACCTGCCCCAACGACTACCGCCCAGTAGCACTCACCTCCATCATAATGAAGTGCTTTGAGCGGTTAGTCAAATTATTCATCACCTCCTCCCTCCCTGAATCTCTGGACCCCCTGCAGTTTGCCTACAGAGCAAACAGGTCCACAGACGACGCCATAGCCCTCACCCTCCACACTGCCCTCTCACACCTGGACCCGAAGAACAGGAACACATATGTGAGAATGCTGTTCATTGACTACAGTTCAGCATTCAACACCATTGTGCCCTCCAAGCTGGCCATCAAGCTCAGAGACCTCGGGCTCAACAGCGCCCTCTGCGACTGGATCCTGAACTTCCTGACGGGCAGACCCCAGGCAGTGCGGGTGGGAAACATCACATCCTCCACCCTGATTCTTAACACCGGTGCCCCTCAAGGCTGCGTGCTCAGCCCTCTCCTCTACTCCCTGTTCACCCACGACTGCGTGGCCACACACAGCTCCAACACCATCGTGAAGTTTGCTGATGACACGACCGTCATCGGCCAGATCACAGACGATGACGAGACGGCATACAGAGAGGAGGTCGAAAACCTGACATCTTGGTGCCAGGAGAACAACCTCCATCTCAACATCAGCAAAACAAAGGAGCTGATTGTGGATTACAGGAAGCAGCAGGGAGAGGGACACGCCCCCATCGCCATCAATGGGACTACGGTGGAGAGAGTCAAAAGCTTCAGGTTCCTTGGGGTCCACATCACTGAGGACCTGACATGGTCTCTTCACACCACCACCATCACCAAGAAAGCTCGACAGCGGCTCTTCTTCCTCCGCAGGCTGAGGAGGTTCAAAATGGATTCCAGGATACTCTGCAACTTCTACAGGTGCACGATAGAGAGTATCCTCACTGGCAGCATGACGGCCTGGTACGGCAGCTGCACCGACCTCGATCGTAAGGCTTTACAGAGGGTGGTGAAAACTGCACAGCACATCACCAGGACGGAGCTGCCATCCATGGAGGACCTTTACTCCCAGCGGCTCAGGAAGAAATCACTACGGATTATCAAAGACCCCCATCACCCCCAGCCACAAACTGTTCTTTCTGTTGCCGTCTGGCAGACGTTACCGCAGCATCCGGGCAAGGACAAGAAGATTCGGAGACAGTTTCTTCCCGCGGGCAGTGAGACTGTTAAACAATTGAACTGTTGAAACAACATCAAACATTCAACTGCTACTCAGTAGTATGTATCTAATACCTAATATATATATATCATTCCAATAACTTGTATATAGACTCATACTGCACTATTCCACATCATAACTTTATTTCATTTTTTATAACTATTATTATTTTTGTATTGCTCTTGCTCTTATTGTTATTATGTTATGTTATTATGTTGCATTGTTGGAGAAGCCTGTGACATAAGATTTTCAACTGCAAAATTACTCTGTAGCTATGTCAGATTGACAATAAAGAACCTTGAACCTTGAACCTTGGGGGCCAGAGATAGGTCAAATCCACCCAAATGACCCCAGATGGCCCAGTTTTTGGCTAAATCTCTCTAAAAAGGTCAAATTTCACTTGTTTTCCATCAATCTTGATACAGGGTACTTATTATATGTTGTACTTTGGATTCCTAAAGCTTTTAGTCTACTAACCCATCATCCAAGGGTAGTTTTCACTATCTGTAAAAAATAATTTTTGGACGGACACTATAATTTACAGTTTTTTACTATGTAAAATCTGAATTTTCTTTAAAATAAAAAACATTTATATTGATTCTGACACTTCTACATCCAACTCACAGGTTTATCATTACTTTGAGAAAAGATTATTAATTTAACCCTTTTAGAAGGGAAGATATGGTCATTTGTTCTGGGAATGTCATTTTCGAGCCTGAGACCTGAAAAACAGGCTCAGAGTGGAACAGGTTAATGAAGACAAAGCAAATACTCTGATGAAATGTAAAGAAATACATATATATTTATTAAAGATGGAGGCTGGTTCTTCCTATGGTTTTTTATTAGGGTTAGGGTTAGGGTTAGGGGAAATTAAATAATCCGCGATCCAGACACAGTCTTCATTTAAACCCCAAGGATGTTTAGTTCCAAGTGTAGAAATCCAGTGTTTTTCCTGTTTTCTGGAAAGTCTGTCCATGTTGGGCTGGTTGGCAGT